AGCGAGAACCCCACCTTGAGAAAGGGCACCAGGTAAGGCTGCGGAGACGACTTAAGCTCAGTCTGCAGCCGGCTGGTGAACTCCTCCGGTTCAATCTTGGCATCCTGTTAGATAAAGGGTAAAGAAAAAACACCATTTTACAAGAGAAGCAAGACAGTCAGTACACCATGGTGACTTGTACACAACAAGATGTAATCCCATCACCGGAGCTGATGATCAACTCCCATCCTGGCACCTCAGGGTGCAGCTCATTAATGTGTATAACAGTGTATAAGATGAAACTCTATGATAGTGCAAGGAGGGTTTTGGAGCGAGTTTTATGCTGCCATCTACAGGTTTAAAATATTCAATACAACAACACATTAGGGTGTCATCTCTGAATTTTAAACTGTAAAACAAGTTAAGTCACACTTAAAAACTAAACTAAATGAAACTAAAAATAATGACTGAAGAACCAGTGTCACTCCAGTCAGTGGGATGTATAAGAAATCTGGTCTGCTGATAGAACAGAGGAAGCTGTTTGGGAACTGGCAGTTTTTGTAAATATCAAATTAAACACCAAAAAAGGTTGATTCCTAAAATACTCGTTAGTTATTGTTTGTAGAAAAATGTGAGTAAACATGAGCAGGACTGGAGTACTTGACAATGTGCAAAATCTTTTTTAACTCTACAGGCATAATACTTCCATGATGTCCATAAGAAGTGTTTGTTTGTTGGTTTTTGAAGCTCACCAGCAGGTCCTGAACCAGAGCCTTGACGTTCTTGGAAGTCTCGGGGGACGGAGAATTGTGAGACGCCAGCTTGATAAGCGTGGCCAGGAAATTCTTACATTTCTTGACATTCTCTTGCATTTCCTGTTGGAGATAAGAAAACAATTATTTACCTTCTGTGCAACATTAAAAATAAATAAATAAATGGTATCTTAAAACTATAAATTACTTCAGCATCAAACATCTTGTTTCTGAGGTGCTAGTCAACATTTAAAGGAATTTTCTTTGTAATATTGCTACTACTCTAGTAGAATCAAAATTAAATGTAAAAGAAAGGTGTTGGATCAAATCTTAAGCTGAGAAGAAGGGGCCTTGTATTTGCGCAGCATTTCTTTTATTTATACTTAACAAAGACACAAAAGAATTAAATTACTGATAAAGAAGCTGACACACATCAGTCACAAATCAGAGCACAGTGCACACTTAGCATGCTGCCCAGTCATCTTTGTAGCCAAATGAGACATGGCACCTGTCCACTTAAACTGCCAGTGGCAACAAACTGAGGACTCCCTGGCCTGAATACATGGAGATGTGAGAGTCTCTGTGTGTGATTCTATATCTGTGTGAATTATGTGTATGTGAACCTGCATATACGTCTGTATCTGTGAGTCCATGTGGCCCTGAATTCATGGTGGGCTTGTGCCTTTATGTCTGCGTCTGCATGTCCTTGCACTTGTGTGAATGTATGAGTGTGATCGTGTGTGGGCATGTGTGAGACTCTCTGTGCATGGCCAGCTGTGTGTGAGGCGGTGAGGCTGTGGGTCCGGGGCTGAGCTTGTGACACAGCCAGCCTGCTGGCAGCTGTGACAGTGCCTGTGCCCTTGAGGATGGAGTGTGGGCGGTGAAGGGGAGGTGGGGGTGGAGGGACGGACCTGGGACACGACAGGAGCTCCGGGTGCCGCGGCGATGCCCGTCTGTGGAGGCTGCACTGGCTGGGAGGCAGCCTGGGCCGGGGCCTGGGGGGGCACAACCACAGGGGTCTGCTGTGGAGCCGTCACAGCCACGGCCGGTGCCACGGGGCCCTTCTGGAAGAGCAAGGAAGAGACAGAGAGATAAACAGGACGTGACGCCTCGCTCGCAGCAAGGCCACAGAGAACAGGAGGCAGGCGCCACAGCGCTCCTGTCACATCTGGTGTCCTGACTTCGGTGGACATCGCTTAACAGACAAGGAGCAGGAAGGGGAGGTGGTGACAAGCTAGAGGCTGGGAAAGACGGCAGGCCATTAAAGATTTTCTTAATAGTCACCTACCTGACGAGGGAATCCACCGACGCCAAACATTAGCCACTTATTGTGTACTTTCTAATAATGTTTTGCGAGGGGATGAATGACCAGAAAACATCTCACATCCACAAAAACTAATTTTGCTCAACAGATGAGGTGCCGTCAGCAGTCTTTCACTCTAAAGCCCTCATCACCTCTTTGAAATCTCCCAGGGCCTGTTCACACTTGGCAATAAAATACATCACATGCGATGCAATCATAAGTGGACAGTTCTAAATACAGGTGTGAATGTACCCAAAATGCATAGCGGACACATTAGGGTCTGATCACAAAAGCCACATATGGATGGTGGCGAGGCTGCATGTACGCCCACATACGGTATCTGATGTAGTCGTACAGTGTGTAGTGTAATCCAAAATATGTTTCTATCTGCACCAAAGGGCTGCCTAGTTAGTGTGCATATAACGAGAAACCTCCTGAATACAGAGGAAAGGTCAAGTCTGAAGCACAGATCCTCTGCTCTGAAGTGTACAGTATACTGTACGATTTCTGTTTAGCAAAAATCTGTTTTCTGCAAATAAATTCGATAATGAGCAGGGAAATAAACCCTGCACCGCATCTCAACTGGATCGAGATACAACACAGTCTTTGGATAGAAAACACTCAACCTAAGTTCTGTAGAAATAGGAGAGGTTAACTTAAAACATTATCTCTACCAGTGCCAGCATACAGTACAAGATGGTATGATGAGTAGCCAGGGCAGCAATACCCAGCAGCCATGTTTGCTTTTAGTTGGTGGAAATCAATTATTATTCCTATTCTTCTCTGCAAACAACTTGCTTGCAAGATTATGTTTGTTATTATTTGTTATTACTGATCCTGTAGATACATTCTTCATGAAAAGTTTCTTGATGTTTAAGTTATTGTATCTTTAACAAGTGATTACATCCCATAGCAACTTAGTAAATGCTCAGGTTAATTAAAAACCTCAACAATAATGAATTATGATTGCACTTTCATGAGCTTTATGAGTGTCGTTTACGGGTTCCGAGTTGGCACACAAAAGCTTCGCATTCACATGCGGTTTTAAAATCTAATTCAAGACAAACAAACAAAAATTAACCAGCAAAAACGGCGTGTGTGGAAAAAAGGTCTTGTTCAATTTATCCCTGCCCAGATTGTCCAGCCTGGTTGGCAACCCACCGTGTGACCTCCAGTCTACCACTGACACACACCATTTCTTGGCGTCACCAGGGACGCTAAAAGGATGAAAATGTGATGCAGAGGACTGAAAAACAGGCGAGTAAGGAGGGTAATCTCACTGGGCGGAGTGCAGGACAGGAGGAGGAGGAGGAGGAGGAAGAAGAGGAAGAGGAGGAAGTCTGCAGGGCAGGACTGGAAGGAGTGGGAGAGGCAGACGGTACCATCTTAGCTGGGGTCAGAGGACACTGCCTGGTGGTCTGAGAGGTCACAGGAGACTGCAGGAAAGAAATAAAGAACACACAAAGGCAAAGAGGAGAAAAAGACAAACAGGGAAACAAGAGAGCATAAAGATATCAGAGAAAGTGGATAAATTAATACAAAGCACCTTGTAAGAAAAACATAGCAAGAAAAAGGCGAAGGTGAGTCTGTGTCAGTTTCAGAGGTGAAAGAAGGAGTGAAGAGGAAGTGAATGGAGAGCAGTAAAAAGACTGGGACAGCACGAGCGAGACAGAGCAACAGAGGAAGAAAAGAGCAGCAGCGTGCCTTGCAGACAGATGAGGAAAGGTCATGACAGCAGGAAAGAAAAAAGAAGGTGGCAGCATGTTGGTGGTGCTGAAGACCGAAGAGCCTGTTTGGTCAGGTAGCAGTAGGTCCTGGTGTCATACTGCTAGGGCCTCGTGACAGGCAAATATACCATGATGAAATTTACTTATAGAAAGCTAGTGTATGGCTGATTGTACTAACAGGGGGAATTCTGTTTGTTGCTTTCCTGTGAAAGAGTAAATAGCAAGGAACTGGAGAACAAAGGGAAAAAATCCCGTAAATAGTTTGTCTTTTAGCAAAAGTCTATAAGAAACTTTGTGGTTTGGGCAGAGGAAGCAGCAGGAGGTGTCTGATTGGCTGTGTACACAGAATATCACAACTGGCCAACTTTGAAGTGGGCGTAAATATGGATTCACTGACTCCTGAGGCCCTTGGCAACACATTTGTGATAACTGCAGGTGACAAAGTCTTATCATATCAGACAATTAGCTTGTAGAGGCTGAGGAAAGTTGCTGTTTCTTGGAACATAGTAAGAAACTAGCTTATCTAACTGGAATTTGTCTGAATGAAACCTGCAGACGCCATAATAATCGGTATGACTAATGCAAATAATAAATAAATAATAAGAAGAAACCATTTAGAAAAACCCAATTCCACCTCAAAATATGTCCATGTATCTATTCCTGATGCCGTCTCACAATGAGAGAAGGATGTCACAGCAAAGGGAAGTAATAAGATTCATAGTATCAACTCTGTACATTGTAGTTATACTAGTACATTATAAATTCATAGTAATGTATGTAGTTATGAACTGCTGAATGAGTAAATAATTAAATACATACACAATAAATAAAAGATTCAACCATATGAGAGTCATATTGCTACAGTACAGGGAAGAAAGTGAAGCAACCATTTGATGACACAACATTTGCACACAGATAACAACATACTGATGCATACATTCACATTCAGTACAAACAGATCATGTAGGACATATACAAGAGGGGTCAGGTGGGTTATATTCCTCTAACAGTTATGTGTTGTTTGTAATTACTTGGACAGACTCATTTCAGTGTTGTATTGCTGGCATAGTAGAGTTGGAGGTTTAAGGATGCACATTGAACTGTACTGGCAGTGACTTTTACACACATTCCTTCAGAGAGGACCTAGGTAATCAGACATTATTCATTCATTTCATTGTTAATTCATGCACATAGTAATGAGCAGAATGTCTAGTATTAGTTCTAGGTTTGAAATTTGAATTTAGAGTTACCTCAATCTGAGTACCAAGATGTGCATTATAGGTTGATAAATCCTAATACATTGTCAGCACATATACAAAGTATAGTATTTTGTTCCAGTAGTGAACTGGAACAAAATACTCCAGCATGAGATGAGTATTCAAAGTAGGTTACAAATGTGTGGAATAAGGTCAGAGCATACTGTGGGTTTTCTGTCTGAATAAAGACTGCACACACTAATAATAACAAGTTAATAATAGTATTTTTATTAATCTGCGGATGGATGCTGAAATTTGTCATAACTCAGGTTTGTTTATTAGCATATTAAAGGCACAAGAGAAAATGGGATGGCTTGGCAGTGAGTGCCAACTGTCACAAAACCACTGTGATGCCCAGTGGCTCATCTCTC